GAGCGGAGATTTAACCAAACACACGGTCCGGTTTGTTATGCTGAACTGGGTGCGCACGATATCCGGTTCGTTTGCATCTTTTCCTCATTCAAAACACACTTCTTTCACCATTTCATTTCACCTGTGCATGAATCACTCTGTTCAGAGTTTCCTGGTCATGTGAATCAATCAACTTCTGGCAAAATCAACTGAAAGAAGCCAATACCCAAATCTGAACTAATTGAAATCCAGGAGGCTGCAGATGAACATCTATCTGCGGAGCACGCTGCTATATTAATCGTGTCAGTGTGCAATGCAGACAGTGAACCTTAAGATAAAACGCGGATAACCAATCAGGAGAATGAAGAGGTTGATAAGGGTAGCCACAATTCTGCTTCATGCGATTTTCATATTTTCAAAGGATAATACAATAGTACAAAAAAGGTGTCTGAGATTTGCTCCGGGGGCGCTGGGTCCGATTCAGCTTGAGCATATTCTTTGTCTTTTTCACGAATTTGCATTGCTTCAGACCGCGACTGCTCGGTCGGTAGAGCGTCGAAGTCAGAACGGACAGGTCACGTGTTCAGTCCCCATCTGGAACAATTGCCCTTCTTCCTGTCTAGGTTGATAAATGAGTACCACTGAATGGAAAGAAATCAGGACACTACATAGTACGCCCACCACATAGCTGTAGACTCTGACTTTAAAAATAAAGTACTACGGGATCATGACACTAAAGCGCCCTGTTTATGAGAAGAAGGGACCAAAATGGTCCAATCATGAACAAACAAGGTAACAAATAAAGGTCAGAACGAGACCATAGCAAGAGGACGAAACGATGCCAGTGTAAACTGAGACACAGCTGGATCGATGTAGGATATGCTTATGGTTTCTGAGTTATTAAACTAAAGCTTCTGTGCACTGGTTACGATATGGCAGAAAAAACTATTTTTCTCTGAGGGTAGAACTGCACTCATGTTATTCATTAGTGCTATATAATAATTTCTTAGCAGACGTCTATTTTATTTCAGACCGAACGTGAGATGGTCGTTTGATTTAAGTTAAACCAGTGTGTCTATCAGGGCCAACCTCGTTCTCTTAATTTCAGCATGTATTTAGATTATCATTGCCTAAAAGAAAATACTGTAATGCCTTACGCAGTCCTTCCACTTGTACTTCATTTGCATAAAAATCAGCGCTGTTCTGTACTGTTTAACGGTTGTTCTTATCTTAAACGTAATAAAGACGATATCCTTGTCATACTGCAACTCTAAACGGACAAATGTTACGTACAAGGCCGATTTTTTGGGGAAAGAAATTGTTGCTCCGCCTTAAGGCACCTGAGATATGAGCGATCCTCCTAGTTAATCTGATAGATTTGGTGATGGATAGCACAGATCACAATTTTCTTGCAATTTATGATCTATGAATTTATTTCCTAGTTGTTGCGACTTAAAAAAGACTTATTACATGCAATCTAAAGAATAGGCAATATTTCAAATTATGATTGTAAAAATTCACTTGAATTCAATGTCTTTTTTCAATATAAATGACATGCATTTATTGGTTATGACCAGAATTAAAAATGGATGTTAAATTCTTCATTGTGCTACAAAGTTTTTTCCAAAAATTACTGCTAGTGCTCAGCGTAAACAATTGCTAACTGACCGATATTTTTGAATGAGGACTCCTTTCAAATAATGGAACATGGCACTTTTATGCAGGATTGTAGGGTGCAAAAGTTTATTACTTCAGCGAAACTTTTCCGCATAGCAACTTACTTAAAAGTAAAGTAAGTATCAAGTGATACTCCACACCTTTTTGGGGCAACAAAGTCAAGAGATTGGGAACTCATCTTGACTCCAAGCCACTCACCAAATAAATTTTTTATTTGTGGAAAAAATTGTTTTTAACGCCATGGTAGTTCGATCGAACTTGAGCAACAAACTTTCACTATCTCCAAAGTTCCGACCGTGAAAATAAAAACTTGCTTCTTGACGCTTAGCGGTAGAAACTTTGGAGGTCATAAAATTGTGTGATTAATATTTGATCGAACTATTGTCCAGTTCAAACCACCTTCGCCACAAATCGTCAGTTTTAAATGCCAAGAAAAACACGCATGACGACCCAACTTGCAGCTGCACTGTAGGTGGTCCAATCGTTGACAGTTGACATATATCAGCGGACGTCCAGATGTTAATCATATCAATGCCTTATCCTGGATCAGTAACTTTAACCCGGATCAGAAATGCTTTTTACCTCAGGCTATATGAAGCCTTTTCTCGATATTCGCTCTTCATTCATTGTTGACAAAAGACATGGACGCCGTAAGACCATATTTCACGGCGTATTCCATTTCTCCGTTGCTTCTAGTTGCAAAGAGGGGCCATTTGACCAGTAGTATTTTAACATATTCATTCCTTGTTCGTCGATTTCATGATTTTTAGTGACTGCATGATCGCCGAACTGTTAATTTCCACTACGTTTTAACGACGTGGGCCCTTCATTTGCGTTCTTCTCCTTCCCTCCTCAAAGATTTCATTCTTTTTTACCCAATTAGGAACTCAAGCGTTCTTGTTTTCTTTCTACAGGGCCATTTCTCATATAAATAATTTTCTCATATAAATTTTTCCAAATTTTCAATAAAACGAACAGCCCAGCCACCTGGGCTTCCACGTTGTTCACCTTGTATTTCATTCTTACATGGGAAATCTGGCTTGCTTAAGTTTATCGATGGTTGAACATTGCCCTGAATGCTACCTTGCCTATGGTGGATGCACATCTTTGACTTGTGGTAACTTTCAACAATATTATAATCATTTTCATTGGCTTGCTGTGATTCTCAATGATGTCCGACCATTGCACAGTGATAAATCCGTATTTAATCGTTGACTTCCATTTTAATTAACTTACT